AAAAAAAAAAAAAAAAAAAAAAAAAAAAAAAAAGCTTAACAACAACAAAACAAACAACCCAATCAATAAATGGGCTAAGGAGCTGAACAGACACTTCTCAGAAGAAGATACACAATCGATCAACAAATATATGAAGAAATGTTCAGCACCTCTAGTACTTAGAGAAATGCAGATCATAACTATAAGATTTCATTTCACATCCGTCAGAATGGCAGAATACAAACAACAATAAGTGTTGTCAAGCATGTGGGGGAAAAGGCACACTCACACTTTGCTAGTGAGACTGCAAATTGATGCAACCAATCTGGAAATCAGTATGGAGATTCCTTAGAAAACTTGGAATGAAAGTTTTGACCCAGCTATCCCACCCCTTGGTCTATACCAAAGGACTTAAAAACAGCATACTATAGTAACACAGCCACATCGATGTTAATAGCAGCTCAATTCACAATAGCTAAACTGTGGAACGAACCTAGATGTCCTTCAATAGATGAATGGGTAAAGAAACTTAGGTATATATACACAATGAACCATTACTCAGCATTAAAAGAGAATAAAATTATGGCAATTTGCAGGTAAATAGATGGAGTTGGAGAATATCATGCTAGGGGAAGTAAGCCAATCCCAAAAAACCAAAGGCCGAATGTTCTCTCTGATAAGTGGATGCTGGATCCATAATGGCGGGAGGGGGCATGGGAAAAGTGGAGGAACTCTGATTGGGCAAAGGGGGAGGAGGGGTGGGGAAGAGAGGAGGCTTGGAGGCGAGAAAGATGGTGGAATAAGATGGACATCACTACCCTAAGTACACGTATGACTGCACATACAGTACAACACTATATCATGTACAACTGAGTACTGAAAAGTTGTGCTGCAATTGTATACAATGAATCAAAATGCATTCTGCTGTCATGGATACCTAATTAGAATAAATAAATAAATTATTTTTTTTTAAAAAGTGAACATAACCCAAGTTCTTTTTTTTAACATTTTTATAGTAGATGAACACAATACCTTTATTTTATTTTTATGTGGTGCTGAGATTGAACCCAATAAGTGCTTCACACATGCTAGCTAAGCGCTCTGCCAACTGAGTTATAACCCCAGCCCCCAAGTTCTTGAATTACATCTATAGTACTACAATCAGAAGGTTCAGGTATGGATGACCAAACAATATGAATCACTTGCATTTAAACCATTAGAGGGGGACACAAATATCCAGAAAGGCTCTAGATATGTTAGTCACTGCATTTTAAACAGCTATATTACCAAGAATTTCAGCAGAGAATTGGAGACTTTTTTAAGCTGGAAATACTATAATAAGAACTTAAACATAGTTCATTGGATGGATTTAAGAGCAGATTAGACATGACTATGAAGAGAATACACACAGTAAAAGAAATTGGGGGGTGTGAAGCAGAGTCAAGGACAGAAAATAGAGACTAAGGGGTAAAAGACATAAAGGGTACATGAGAATTTCTGATCAAAGTACAGTTGGAATCTCAAAAGTGTAGGAGCATGGGATCTTTAAAATAAACAGCTAAGGGGCTGGGGATGTGGCTCAAGCGGTAGCGCGCTCGCCTGGCATGCATGTGGCCCAGGTTCGATCCTCAGTACCACATACAAACAAAGATGTGTCCACCGAAAATTTAAAAATAAATATTTTTTAAAATTCTCTCTCTCTCTCTCTCTCTCTCTCTCTCTCTCTCTCTCTCTCTCCTCTTTCTGTCACTCTCTCTTTATCTAATTTAAAAAAAATTAAATAAAATAAACAGCTAAGAACTTTTCTAAAAACTCAAGTTATCAAGTCATGAATTGAAAAAGCCTTCCTATAAACCCCAAGTGGGATAAGAAAAAACACACAATCCACACCGAGATGCATCAGAGTAAATCCTCAAGCAAACAAAATATCCAGTCTGCTGGGAAAGGGTGGGCAGATGTAACCATCAAGGAGCAACATCTGGACTGACAGCCAGCTTCAGAGGAACAGTAGGGACAGTGAAATCCTGCCTTTTGAAATGCTGGAAGAAAATGATTGTCAACCTAAAAATTTCTAATCAGGGCACATATCCTTCAGGAATGAAGGAGAAATAAAAACATTTTTAGAGAAACAGCTGGAAGAATTAATTCATCAGCACACCTACCCTAAAGGAATACTAAAAGGGTGTTTTAAAGGCAGAAGTAAATGATCCCAAACATGGAGACAGAGCTTCAGGAAAGGTTTGACTAAGAAGAAAATGCACACAGTAAAAAAAATTAGGGGATGTGATGATTTGAAAGCAACAAAAAAGAGAAAGATGTAAACATTACATAAAACAATAATTCTGTCTTATGGAGATTTAAATATATGTAGGAATAAAATGCATGAGAGTAAAAGTAGGTGGGAAGACTCAGGTGGAGTGTGAGTGTTCTAAGACCCTTGAAACATCCAAGGAGGTAAAAACCCACTTAATATCAGACTTGGGTAAGTCAAGTATGCACAATGTAATAGTTGAGATGTTAGGAAGAGTATGAAACTTTCAACCCAATAAGGGGGATTGGAATAATCAATTCAGGGACCAGATTTAAGAGTTGCAAAAGATAAAAAAGGAAATAAGAAAAAGCAGAACAGGTGGAAAAATACAAAGCAAAATATTTGTGATAAACCCATTATTGCATCAAATGTAAATGAACTAATGCTCAAATGTTGACAAGGATTGTCGGGCTTGATTTTGTGTTATTTATAAGAGATTCCTTTAAAACGTGTGTTTAGAAATTATGAAAGAAAAATATGAAGAACCATATACACAACAAACAGTTAATTATAAAGAAAGTGGTATAAATATATGAAAGCAGATTTCATGGCCAAAAACAGAATTTTTTTTTTCTTTTTTCAGAAGTAAAAGGTTCAATTCAATTACAGGAAGAGGAACTAATACTAAATGTTTATGCACTTAATGATGTAATTTGAAAATAAATGAAATAATATGATAGAAATAAAAAGCAAATATGTAATGAGAGTCAGATTTTAACATGACTATTTTGATAATTTAAAACTAACATACAAAACTCAAGTCATAGAAGCTTTAAGCAATGCAATTAGCAAACTTGGCCAAATGCTGACCATAAAAGTCTCAACAAACTTTAAAAAATAAAAATAAAAAAGAAATATATTCTCTGACCACAACACAATTAAAGTGGAAATTGATTATTTTAAAATGTTATAATCCTCATATGTTTGGAAATTAGATTTCTATATCTGGTAAAGAAATCACAAAGGAAATTTGAAATATTTTGAATTGAAAAATAAGTACATACCAAATAACAAAAATAAGTACATACCAAAACTAATAGATAGGGTGGTATGTGCCTGTAATCCAGAGACAGCAGGAGAATTGCAGATTCAGGGCCAGCCTGGGCAGCTTAGCAGGACCTTGTGTCAAAAAACAAAACAGGCTAGGAACATAGCTCAGAGGTAAAGTGCCCCTGGGTTCAATCCCCGGTACCGAAACAAAAAATAAGGATAAAACAAATTATGGGAGGCAACTAAAACGGTGCTTAGAAATGTATTGTTAAATGCATGTGTTAGAAAAGAGAAAATGTTGAAAATCAGTAATCCACGCAACCATCTCAAAATTTAAAACACCCACGCTCACAGCAAATGAAACCCAAAAATAAAGATAAAAGCCAAAATTATTGATGCAGAAGAACACAAATATACAATAAAGAAAATCAGAAAAGTTAAAAGTTGTTTCTTTAAAAGGACTGAGGATTGAAAACCCCTAACAAAAGTGATCGAAGAAGAAATGGCATGGGAGAGAAGAGGAATAGCCAGTATCAGAAGAGGAAATGGTTGGATTCCTTCCGACCGTGCAGAAATTAAAAATATAGTATATTGCATTTGTCCATTTCCTGCTGGTATAACAGAATTCCACAGACTGAGTGGTTTATAAAGAAAATAAAAATTACTTCTCACCATTCAGAAGGCTAGGAAGTCCAACATCAGGATTTTGAGGGCCAACTTGTTACATCACGACATGGTAGAGAGCATGGGGTCGGGGGGCGTGAAGAATCTGGAGGCCAAACTTTATCCCTTCCTCAGGCCCTCTCCCTCCCAATGCAATGGCAATATATTTCAAAGTGTGCTTTGGAGGGGTCATTGAAACCATAGCAGTATGACACTGGTTCATTTTAAATCTAGATGAAATGATCTAGATTATAGTGTAAATTAATCAAATTGTACATTTTACATGCAGTTTTGATGTCAAATATTTCTCAGTGAAATTACTTTTGGATTTTTTTTTTAGGAAAATGAACAAATTCCTTTTAAAAAAAATCAAACCTCTCCAAAACATCCAGTGTGAGTGAAGATTTAGAGCAACAAAAATGGCATATATTGAATGTAGGAATATAAATGAAAAGTACTTGGGGAAACTTGGGCAGTACTACTGTAGTTGACAACAAGACCTTAGTAAAAAGTTGCTAAGACCTAGCAATCCCCGTGCTAGGAAGACACCCAAAAGAAATGCACGAATGTGCACTAGGAGACAGAATTTAAAAACTGGAAGCACCCCAGATGACTATCAACGCCAGAATGTATAAATAAAAGGCAGTGCAGTAGTCCCCCTTATCATTCTTTGAGGTTTCGGTTACCTCTGATATATTAATGAAAAATTCCAGTAATACATTTCTTAACAGTGTGATGAGAGCTCAGCACCTCCTGCTCCGGCTCCCCTGGATGTGATCACCCCTTTGTCCAGTACACCCACCTCCAGGGGTCCTTGAGGCTTCATCATCATCATCATCACTAGTAGTTATTTGCTCTTTTACAAATTCATTTTCTCAAAGAGAGTTTTCTTGAGTTTTCCAGAAGTTGCTTGGTGTGTGATATAGCAAGATCCAGTAGGGAAACTGACATGAGAATCCAGCTGTCTTCTATTAAGCCAGACACTATAGAAATCTGCAAAAATACAAAACTATTTCACTCTCCCTTCTCATAATTTTAAAGGGTTTTTATAAAAATACATTATTTGCATTAACATCATGTATTTATTGTTGTATTTTACTAAGTTGTTAAATATTTTTTTAATTTCTCAGTTTAATTTTTTTTATAAATATTGAAGACATAACCCACATGAACACATCTTTTTGGGGTCCTCAATAATTTTTAAGAGCACAAAAGGTGTGTTGAGTGTTGGGGATATAGCTCAGTTGGTAGAGTGCTTGCTTCACATGCATAAGGCCCTGGGTTCAATCCCCAGCACCACACACAGACACACACACACACACACACACACACACACACACACAGTGTGTTGATTCCAGAAACTTTGAGAACCACTGATCTAAGGGAAGTTATCTAGATGGTTCTGGTCTCTGGTCTCTGGTCTCAGACTTGCCCTGTGCAACCTTCTTATCAAAGTTTTTTGGTTTTTGTTTTGTTTTGCTTTTGCTTTGGATGAAATTTTAGAAAAAAAAAAATGTCCTCTAGACCTGTGAATGACATGAAATTGGGAGATGATAGAGGGAAAATCCAAAAAGAGCAACAGGCTGATTTTATGAAATGAAATGTAGCAGGAGTAACTGCAAAGCTCAACCTTTGGGTTCAAAAGTTTGGGTTTAATAAAACCAGTTTCTCTGAGTTGTTTTACATGGGGCGATGTTTGAAGGTAATGTCGTAGATTGAGGGCAGCCCACAATAAGGGTGGTTACAGTGCTTACTGTTGATAAATCCACCTTCTGTCTACCTGAAAGTGCCTTTATTTTGCCTTCACTGTTGGAGGTCATCTTACTGCATACAGAATTTCAGGTGGAGTCTTCCCCTATACGGCTCAGCTGTAGAGTCAGTGGCTTCAATTAGTAGCAAATTAAGGTGCTCCCTTCTCTCTGGGATTCTTTTCCTCCACTTCCAGCCACATTGGCCACCCAGACCCACAATCTCTGAGTGCAGTAAGACTGACTACTCAAACTCCGCGCCATCTTGGGAGCTGGAGAGACCGTGGAGACTGTGAGGGACTGAGATTCCCCTTACTGTCTCTGCCTTTGTCCATCCAACAAACAGCACCATGCTCCCTCTTCAAGGAAGATAAGCCCAAGTCCCAGCCTGTTGCTGCTCCCAGCCCTGTGTCTGCTTCCTTCCTCAATACAGGAGGCAACTCTCTGACCCAATTATTTTCCACCCTATGCCAAGGGCCACCAGCCTCTCACCCACAGTGGGTGGAGCCTCATCCACCACCTCATTTAGTGGATGAGACTAAACCGGTGGTACATTTGTGGTGGTGGTATTTGTGGCAAGCACGTAAGCTTCTTGAGTTGACTTAGGCAGAAAATGATTTATTTCTGGGTATTAAATAACTGCCCAATTGGGGGCGGCGGGGCGGGGAGGGGAAGGGACCTCAGCTTGGATGACACACGGCCAGTAGAAATGCCAGTGGCTCCCCAGGACTGAAAACTTGGTCCCATTCAGCACCCAGCATCTATCGGTGCAGTGACAGCCCAGTCTCTAAACTCTGCCCACAGTGGCCCCAGAGGAACCAAGTGCCACACTTCTCCCTAATGCCTGTTACCTATTACCCCTGATACTCACTCCCCCTTTCAAGTCTCAGCCAGGCGACTCTAGGAGGGGAGAATGCCAGCTGTAGGGGAGCCAGAGATGCCTTCTGCTTTCCAGCCTCTAGTGCCAGGAAGCCCCCTGCTTGGGACCCCTGAAGCCCAGCTGTGGCGTCTGTCACTGGACTTCAGGCTGTTGTTAGAGTCGCGTTTTTGTTTTTGTTTTTGTTTTAACCAGGAATTCAACCCAGGGGCACTTAACCATTGAGCCACATCTCTAGCCCTTTGTTTTAAATAAATATTTTATTTAGAGACGGGGTCTCACTAAGTTGCTTAGAGTCTCACTAAACTGCTGAGGCTGGCTTTGAATTCACGATCCTCCCGCCTCAGTCTTCAGAGCTGCTGAGATTACAGACATGCGCCACCACACCCAGCTGTTTTTTGGATCTTAAGTGATATACTATCGAGAGCATGGAGAATATAAATTCTCTGAGAGCAGAGACCTTGTGATTCTTACAAATCTACATCCTGTGCGCACAACAGCATCTGACCTCAAGAAGTATTTATTAGCCCCGTGCAGTGGCGCACAGCAGGAGGATCACAAGTTCAAGGCCAATCTGGGCCAAGGATGTAGCTTAGTGATAAAGTGCCCCAGTACAGAAAAAAAGCATCTATTGACTAATACCAGTATTTAGCACCGTTTCTAAAAATGACAAGCATCCAATAAATAATAACTTGCATTATCATACATGATAGGAAACCCCAGCAAAGGCTAATACAGCAGCTCAGTGCCATCTTAACAGAACCAAGCTCTGCTCATCTATAGTTTGACAGCCTCTGGCCAGGTCCCCTCGGAGTCACAAGAAGGCTGCCACAGTTCCTGGGGTTTCCATCAAGACAAGATCTCATCCAGAGCACAGTGTGGAGTGGGGTTCTCTCCCAGAAGCCCCCTCACATTTCCATGCCCAGTTCCTAAACCAATATTGGCAAGGAGAGGGATCCATTGTTGTGGCAAACTAGTCAGGTTCTGGAGCCAGGCTACATGGAGTAAATCTCAGAATGTGTAAGCCAGGCTATTCTTGGAGGAAGGGAGAGGCAGGGTGGCCAGGGAACCATGTAGAAATCAGGTCTTCATGCAGTGACAGTGCAAGGATCTTAATGAAAACCCCAGCCAGAGATGCCTGGATCCCAGCTCCCAGGCCCTATTGTTGGATCACCAAGGGACAGTTCCCAGGGTGGAGGCCAGTCTGCCTGTGGGGGGCCTGGAGCCATGAGGGAGAGATGAGCCCACGGCATCCACAGCCACCTCATGGCCGGCCCAGCCCATGCTCCTCAGGGCTCCGTGAGCACCCCTGCAGGACGCACAGCGGCCGCTCCATCTCCCAGGTCTGCTTAATAGGAATCAAGAGTTGGGTGGGAGCAAACAATTCATGCCAACCCGAGCCCTCAAGGACATGCCTGTCCTTGCCATGGCACAGCTCCCCAGCCCATCCCAGCTCCTGAGGGGCCCATCTAGCCTAAGTGGGGAAGTCTGCCCTCGGGGACAACACAGTGGAGCCCTCAACCTGCAAGTGTTGTCCTGGCTTCCAGTCCTGGAGCCCAGCATCCTGTGGTCTTGTGCATTCGGCAGGGAGAGGCCCTGTGGGAGGGGTCTGGCTGCAGTCCCCACACACACACCTGCTCACACTCTGCCCACTCACTCCCCCTCCTCTTCTCCCTGGCCCGTTGCAGTCCCCCGAGTTCAGCAGCTGCCTTTGTCACGCAGCCTGGTCCAAACTGATAAGATGCTGTCCTCTGGGTCCCTAGGACCCAGGGCTGGGGGCCTCCAATTTCAAACACCAGCCGCTGACACTCACACGCTCGGCCCCCTCAGGGGACACCGTGGCTAGGACAGACATCAGCATGCTTCCCCGCAACCCCCAAACCCTGGGAAACCTGGCCTCAGAGCAGCCCACCTGGCTGCCTGGTGGGCACCTGCAGGTCCAGGTCTGCCCTCAGATCTCTGGAGCCTTAAATCCCTGGTGTGTAATAAGAATGACATGCCCAGGGGCAGGGCCACAGGAGTAGGAGGGAAAGGTGTGAAGTGCCCAGTGGGGGCTCCCAGACAAGAGGGAGCTGCATGGGGCAGCTCTCCCTGCAGGCTGCCGGGAATGTGGGTCCGAACCTGGACTCACCTGCAACCCCATAGAGGGGACGGCTTCCCTTTGGGTCCACTGAAAGGATGGGATAGGGGACAGGTGGCGGTGAGGGAACCTAAGCTCAGCCCCAGAGCCTGGCAGAGTGGGACCCTGTGGTGGGGGCTGTCTTTTGGGGGACGGGGCAGAAGGTTCAGAAGAAACTCTACATATGTCCTGGCCACCTCTGAGGAAGACTCAGCCTGCTGACCCAGCTTAAATCCAGCCTCCTCCAGAAAGCCATCCTGGGCCAGCCCAGCCTGCGTCCTCCCTGCCTGGGCTCCCATGGCTTGGCCACAACTCCCTGGTTCCCCAACAGGAACTGGCAGCTCCTCCCACCTCAGGGTGGGCAAGCCTCCTCTCTGGCCACCAGGGCCCAGCAGCCCCTCAGAGCAGCCTGGGATCTGCAGGTGGATCATTATCCCCACTGCACAGACAGGAGCCTGAGGCACACACAGTGCGGCCCTCTCACTGCGCATCTGCCTCCGCACACTCTCCCCATCTGCCCTGCCACCTGAGGGAGTGTCGGGCTTGGGCTCTGAGTCAGGGTGGCACCATGGGGACTGAGTCAGGACCTTTGGATGAGGGATGCAGGCCTGGGGCTGGAGGAGGCCCAAGGGTCTGCTGGTGAAGGGAACAGAGAGGAGGCACCACACAGGGACATTCACATCCAGCACAAGCCCCAATCCAGATGACGCAGGCAGAGTAGAAGGGGCCCAGGGTAGGGAGAACACCCCCAAAACAGCCCTTGCTCTCAGGGAGCAGGAGGCCCAGACCCAGCCTCCCCCTCAGTCCAGAGACCAGGAAACCAGATGTCGGCTGAGGCAGCCATTCCAAAACGCACACATCTTCAAAGAGGGCCATTTTCCATATCCTTTGGGCAATTTTAGAACAAGTCTGTAAAACTGGAATTTTAATGGATGACATATTTGTGTGTGCGCATGTGTGTGTGCCCTTGGGTGGCTCTGGAGCTACGGCATCTTAGGAGGTGGGGTGCCAGTTCTTAAAGGACAGCCGGGGTCACTTCCAGATTCTCTGTTGGTGCAAAGGAGCTGAACCTTCAGGAACTGAGGGTGGGCAGGTGGTGGAACTTTGATGCTGAGGTGGGTGTGACTCGCCCTGAGGCTGGGTGGGGGGTGGGAGGCGCAGCCCATCTGAAATCCCTGTCACCAGCCACCCAACATGCCCTCCTCCTGTCTTGACTTGGAATCCAGGTGTGTTCGTGTGCTGGGGCCACCCTAAGACGCCCCGCAGATGGGGGAGGGGTGGTTCAAACGACAGTATCTATTTCCTCATGGCTCTGGAAGCTGAAGCCCACAGTCAAGATGTCGGTAGCCTTGGTTTCTTCTGAGGCCTCTCTCCCTGGCTTGCCCAGGGCTGCCTTCCTCCTGTGTCCTCCCCTGTCTTCCCTCCCTGTGTGTTTTTGTCCTAATCTCTTCTTGCTCAAAGGACGTAAGTGGAGGCTGGGGACATGGCTCAGTGGTAGAGCTTTTGCCTGGCTCGTGTGAGACCCTGCATCAAAAAGCCAACTAACAGAAGGCTACCAGTCAGATAGGATTAAGGCTCCACCCCAGTGACCGTATTTTGCCTCAATGACCTGTCACTCTCTCCAGGGACAGTCCCATTCTCGGGACTGGGGGTTGACTTCCCTGAATTTGAGGGACGCAGTTCTGCCCATAACCCCAGATGCCACCCTGCGTTGCCCCGTTTGGCCTGACCTTCCCCACCTTCATGTCTAACTGCATCTCCTTGCTTTCCTCTTCCTTTAGCCCCCCAAACACACACACACACCCCAACACCCACACTCAAATGGACACACTCACCCAAGGCAGGCCTGCAGCCCTCAGGCTCCCATGTAGGAAACTGGACACCCCTCCTGCTCTGGAGCCCTCAGACTCTGCTGGCCCCAGATGCCAAGGTCATGCCCTAAATGGAGTCCCCTGTGGGTCTATTCTGCTCTCAGCCCCTCAAGGGAATCTCCCAGCCCCACCACCACAGGCCCCACTGCCCCCACTACTTGCCCATGGCTCTTGACCTCCAGACCCTTCTTCTGCTTATTAGTTTGTTAGCATCTGTCCACAGGGACAGCTCCAGGAGAGCACAGCAGACCCCAGAACAAGCTCAAGGACATTTCCATCCTCTGCCACAGAATGGCCAACTCACCCCAAGGAGTCCCGGGAGGCCACTGTCCTCACACAAGGCAGAGTCAGATCTAACAAGCAAAGGGGGCAAGAGCAAGGGCCTAGGGACTGTGGGCTCTGCGTTTCCACTCAGGGGTGAACTCACTTGCCAATGGTCAGCAAAACCATCAGCACTGGGCCCTTGAGCAGGCCGGCGGAGACAGCAAAAGAAAAACAGCAGTTACCTTCAGATAAGGCTGCGCGGGGACAACAGGAGGAGCCACAGCCCTCTGCCTAGACTGATGGCACCAGTCTCCCTGTGTGTGTGTGTGATAATCAGCGTCATCACATAACCCATGGCCTTCCCAGTTCTGTGGGCCCCAGTGTCCAGGCCGGGCATGGGGAGTGATTTGATGGCAGGAACTAGGCCACAGGAAGTCTGGGAGGGGAGGCAGGGATAGAGGGAAGAGGACGCAGCTGTTGATTTGGGTCCAGGGGCCTTTGGAGACATGGAATTGCAGCCCTGTGTGTGGGAGATAAGAATAAGACGACAGAAACCCTGCGGGACACCCACATTCAAGGAGCATTTGACAGACAGGAGCCCCATGAGGGGGCCAAGGCTTCGGCAGTGAGAGAGAGGCCAGGAGGAAGAGAATGTCACAGAAGCCAAGAGCCAGGGTGTTTTCCAGAAGGCCCGAATGGTGGCCAAAAGGTGAAGAAGAAAGGCCATGCAGAAATGAGCCCGTTGAATTTAGCCACCTGGAAGTCCTGGGCCAGTGTGTTGAAGGGGTTTCGGTGACAGAGCAGGGCCAGGAGCAGATGGCAGCTGTTCCATTTATCTGGTATTGCACCTCAGATACCCCAAAAACTTGGTGGCTTCAAACAGCCACTGTCCAGAGTTTGGATCAGAAGGTTGACAGGGCACCGCAGGAATGGCTCATGCCTGCCCATGATGTCTGGGGCTTGCAGGCAAGTCACCAAAGCTGGGTCACTCAACGCCAGGGTCAAAACGCCCAGGAGGTGCCTTCAGCCGACTGGGATCGGAAGTGGGCTGTCTGCAGGCTCAGCTGGGCTGAGGGCTGGAGCCGCGGCTCTTGGCCTGGGCTTCTTCACAGCCGCAGCCTCAGCGGAGAGGGACACAGACTTAGCAGCTCAGGGATCCAAGCAAGTGTCCCTGTAAAGCAGAAGCTACTTCACCAACTCCCTCTGGAAACTTGAAAGGGGAAGGTGGGGACACTAGAGGCACCTTAAGAACTCGGCCCCTGGGCTGGGGATGTGGCTCAAGCGGTAGCGCGCTCGCCTGGCATGCGTGCGGCCCGGGTTCGATCCTCAGCACCACATACAAACAAAGATGTTGTGTCCGCCGAAAACTAAAAAAAAAATAAATAAATATTTAAAAAAATTCTCTCTCTTTCTCTAAAAAAACAAAAAAAACTCGGCCCCTGGAAACAGACAGCCTGGACTGACTACGGGAACCTCTCAAATCCTTATCTATAAAATAGCATAATAATTGATCTACACACAACGCTGTCACAAACATTAAGCCTGTGCCCAAAGTGGCACGCTCAGAGCAGGTCTGATGCCTTCAGTCTGCTTCGAATTGGTTGACACCCAATAATGGGCAGGGGTGTGCTCCAGGCTGAGGGAAGGAGAGAGGGCAGCTCAGGAGGGGATGGCTGGCGCAGTCGTTCAGGGCTCCTGGAAGCCCCTGTGCACCAGGTCACCTTTCAACTGTGCCTCCGAGTCCAGATGGGCAAGGACTGCTGAAGAGCACCATGAGCAAGGGCCAGGCCCACCGGGGACAATTGGAGGCTGCTGGCCCAGAGCTGGCCTCAGTGGGTCCCAGTTAGGGTCATGACGGTCATCCTGGCCTTTGGGAACCTGAAGCAGACCCCAGAGAGGGGTTTCAGTAGGAAGGCAGTTCAGCTCTTCCTTCCTGAACCCCGCCCCAGGCCCCAGTCACCCCTTTACTTTGCTGTTGGTCTCATTAAGCAAGGAAGAGGACACTGGTGTGAATTCACTTTGAAGATGTCCTGCTTGTGTGTGTGTCTGTGTGGGAGTGTAAGTGTGGGGGGTGTGGATGTGGGTGTGGGTGGGTGTGTGAGAGAGATAATCAGCATCATCACATCACCCCTGGCCAGTTTATCAAGTCTGTGTGGGGGGCGCCCCCTGGAGTCCAGCAGTATACGACCATGCAGCCACATCGGGCAGCCCTTGGTGTGGGAGTGAGCTGGGCACACGCTTGGCTTCCCATCTGCCAGGGAAGCTCCCTGAAGCTAGGCCCAAGCCTCCACCTCTGGGCCCCAGGCCTGCCTGCCCCAGCTGCAACCCAGCTCCCACCCTGCAGGCTGCTGGGGAAGAGCCAGGAAGGAGCTCCCGGGCACCCGCAAGCTCCAGAGCTCTCCTCTAGGCCCCTCATGCTCCCTCTGCCCAGTGGGAAGGCAGCGCCCACAGTCCGGGCCTTTATCTCCCGCAGATGCTCCAGAGATGGTGAGGTACAGGGTGGTGTGACCTTGGCTCTGAGACTTTGGCAGGGCCCCGCCCCTTTCACCTGAGTCATGGAATTCTCCAGAGGTGGGCAGGGCTGCTGCCTGGAGCCAGGAGAGGTGAGCTCATGGGTCCCGTCCACCACTGGCCCTGCCATCAGGCAGGGAAGGGCACGTCCCCTCCCTGGGGCGTGGCAGCTGAGCTCATGCTTCCCGGAGCTCCTTTGCCTTGACCTGGGGACCTGAGCGTCCAGCCGCCAAGCTTCCTTGTTGATGCCATGTCTTCCTGGGCTTCCAGCCCTTCCTCTTCCCCTTCACTGACAGAGCCAGGGGTGGGCGGGGGGCTGCGGGAGGATGAGGGGGATGAGCAAGGGCACTTAGGGCAAGGGGGGCTGATGGGCTTGCGCTGTCCCCTTCACCTAGAGGAGTGGAGACGTTGTAGGGAAATACTGGATGGAAGTCGGTCCCAGGGTGGACATATGGACACCTGGCTCTCCACAGACGCCAGCCTCCAGGGGTCTAAGCTGGGACATGGCCGGGCAAGCGTCAGGACTGCACTGGGGGAAGGGGCCCTCATGAAATTGACGGCCGCTGCGCACTAAGGCTCCAAGGGGGTAGCTCTGAGATCCAGGTCACACAGGGACCTCAGGGGCCCAAACCAGCCCTGGGACTCCAGAGCCAGGGCGCCCTGTCCCCCACCGGCTGGTCAAGGAGGCTCCTCTTCCAGAGACCAGGGCTCAGCTCCAGTTATGGATGAAGGAGAAAGAGGAACAGCTGAAGATGGCCCTGGGCGGGGCTGGGGGAGGTGTCCTCAGTGGGGGAAATGGTCCATTTTGTGGGGTGGGAGATGAAGAGAGCTTCTGAAGCCCTGCTGAGCTTGGGTCCCTGTGCACGTGCACAGAAAACACTGGAGAAAAACACTATCCTGGCCAAAGACAGGATAGACAATCACAGACCACCTGAACCCTCAGAATCCTGGGGACTTGGAGAGCAGAGGTAAAGGCCACCATGAGGGTTGAATGTGGCCGTGGAGTGGGCTTCAGGTGTGCTCAGCAGCTCGGAGAGGAACTTATTAACCCAAGGCCCAAGCCCAGGTCACAGTGGCCTCTCTTCCTCAGCCATGCAGGCTGGGCTGGGGGGGAGGTACATGACCAGCACATGTCCCCAGGTTCTCCAGCTGTGCAGCTGTGTGGGGTGGGAGGGGCAGCTCTGTCCAGGGAGAGGCCTGCTGGCCACTACTAAGGAGATGCAGAGGATTCCTGGGTTACCAGCCCTCAGCGCAGATTCCCCCAAGAACTGGAAATAAATGGGGAAGTTTGGGCCCATCCGCTCTGTCCTTGAGCAGGGACATTGGCGGGGCAGAAAGCTGCAGAGCTCTAACAGGCCTCTTACTGGAATCCGGGTACAGAAGGCAGGGCCCCTCCTTCAGAGACCCAGGCCAAGGCCCGCAGGGGGCCAGAGTGGAGCTCAGTGGTTCCCACAGGCACAGCCAACCCACCCCTCCCCTCTGGGCCTCCTGGGTTCTCCCCACTCCTCACAACCCCCAGGGAGAGGACAAAGCTCGGCCTTGGCTTCTCCCAGTTTCCTGACAAGGAGGGCAGACCTAACTGGGCCCTTTTGTTCTAACTGCCCTGATTGGGGTATGGTGAAGGAGGGCAGGCTCCTATTTCCTGAGACCCTCTGGCTCCAGGGTGACATCTGCGGATGAACTGTCTCCCTCCTAGGCCTCGGTTTCCTCCTTCTTCGAGTTGGTCCCCGTCTAGTGACTGGAGGTCGTGCCTGTGAGCCACGAGGTATGCTCTAAACACCTCCTCCACCTCATTGTCTTCTTTAGGGCCCAGGATGGCAGGCCTGCAGAGCTGGGTGTAGACTCCAGGGCAGCAGGACTGTCCCCTAGACCAGTGCAAAAGAACTGCTTGTCTCTTCAAGGCTCCCAGAGCCCCCACCTCCCAACCAGGGCCATCTGAGGACCCTCCAGCTCAGCCTATGCCCTTCCCCTGCCGGCACAGCACACACGTATGCATGTAGGTGCACCTCTGTGTGCATATCCAGGGAAGATAACATTTTTTGAGCACCTGCTGTGTGCCAATCCAGCAGTGATAAGGCTGCCCAGCATCATAAGGCACCAAGAGGTGACCGTTAAAGAGGGGAGGGATTCTCCCTGGTGAAGCTGTTTCCAGAGGAAGAACTGGAGAGAGGGATGGAAGGACAGAGAGGTGAAAAGGGGTGAAGTGGCGCTGTCGCTGAAGTGACTGGGAGAGCTGACCACGATCCTGGAGCCGAGGTCTCACTCTCCAGTGTGTCCGTGGCATATGTGTCCTGAAGCTCGGGGTGCAAAAGCAAGCTAATGGACTGCCTCTTCCCTTGTCCCCCACAGGTCCCTGTATGAGTTGGTGACAGGAGACCTATAGTGACCCCTAGATTGGCCCCTGCCAGCCTTTCTTCCCTTTTCAGGCCAAGGGAACCCCTGAGAGTGGTGGCAAGCTGACAGCTCTTCCTCCTCCCTCTTCTGCTCCCCACCAAGCCCCCAGCAGGCCCCCAGCAGGAGAGGGGGCTGGGTCCATTTCTTAAATAGCTTTATGATATTAAGATAGCTTGTGATAAAAACACATCAAGTTAGGAATAGAAAGGAACCACCCCAACCCAAGACTTTCTATGAAAAACTCATTATTAA